GAAATGGGATTTTTTTCAAGAGCTGGAGAGACAGGATGAGGAGGAATGGCTTCCCACTGCCAGAGGGCAGGGTTAGATGGGATATTGGGAAGGAATTCCTGGCTGGGAGGGTGGGGAGGTCCTGACCCAGGTTGGGCAGAGAAGCTGTGGCTGCCCCTGGATCCCTGGAAGTGTCCAAGGCCAGGTTGGAGCAAACTGGGCTGGTGGAAGAGTGTCCTTGCCCATGGCAGAGGGTGGAACTGTTTGATCTTTAATGTCCCTTCCAACCCAAACCATTCCATGATTCCATGATCAGCTGCAGGATCAGGCCCTTCCTTCACCCTTCACTTCCCTGTGTTCCTGGTTCTTCCTCAGACCTTGGGCATGTCCCAAAAGCCACATCTGCAGGGAATTTAACCAAAAAACACTCACTAGGCCACTCAGATTCTATCAGGGAGGGCAACAACTTGCTCCTCTTTATTCCTCTGCTGGTGCTGAGAAGCTTGGGATGCAATTCCATGAGCCCAGAGCCTGCAGGAATGTGGCTGTTTCTGGTGGTGAAGGTGGGATTTAACCTCTGCTGGTCCTCACAGTGAGCCCTGGGTTTGATTTGGAAGTGTGGAGATTGTGGCAGCTGATCAGGAGGCATCATCATGCTTGGGAATTAAAGCAGAACACGGAGATAACTGCGGTGTCCCTGTTTCCCCACCCCATCCCACCATCAGTTTTTCCAGCTCTGCTTCCCAGTCTGCAGCCACAGCGTGCCTCCAACAGCCTGACTGCCAGGATTTCCACTGACACATTCCCTGGGATCCCTGCTCCCACCAGAAATCGTTTCCACTCCTCCTTAGGAAAAAAAAAACTACAAACACAAAGCACCGTAAACATTTTCAGAGCCGATTCTGCAGCGCTTCCCTTCGGCAAAGATCTGCTGTTCCTGCAGAAATCCAACGTTTTATTGACCATGGCGAGATTCCTCCAACCCTGTCAGCACTTCAGCACCGTTTTCATGGAGATTAACGGGTGGGAAATTGTTGTTTCTGGTTCAAACGTCCCCTCTCAGAAGTTCAACACCAGCTGCAGGATTTCACTTGTGCTGTGTCTGCGCTCACAGCACAATGGGAATCCTGGATCTCCCTCAGATCCCATCTCCAGGCCTCTCCTCCAAATTCCCAGTGCTGCCTCATGCCCTGCTCTGTCGTGGAATCATGGAATGGTTTGGGTTGGAAGGGACTTCAAAGCCCATCCAGGGACATCTTCCACTATCCCAGGTTGATCCAAGTCCCATTCAGCCTCTCCTGGGGGCTACAGAAGTCGTAGGACCTTTTCTCTGGGAATGTGGGAAGATCACTCTCCTTACTTTTGCCTCACAGTTTGATGTCTGTGGTTGGAGGAGGGAGTGAGGATCAGTTTTGTCGTGTCCCCCAAAACCAGGCCCAGGCCTGGAGATGGGATACAAGCCGGGGGCAGGCAAAGCTCCTTCCAGCTGTTTGTGGTTTTTGCGGTTCTCCGGCTCCAAAATCTCTCCACCCTAAATTTAAGGTGGTTTCCAGGCTTTCCTGAAGCATCCCAGAGCAGGGGTGCTCCAACCAGCCCCACATTGATCCCACCAGGATCAAGGAGCAAGGGAATCCATGGGAGTCCCATCAGGGAATTCCCGAGGTCTCCTTCAAGGCCAGGTCCCCCCTGAAGCTCAGCAGCTCCTGCCACCCCCCACCAGCTGCTCCTGGACTGTCCCCACCAGCTTTTTGGGAGTTGATTTGGGTCAAGGGCCACCTCCAAGATCCAGGGAAAACACCTCAGACCTGCAGCGCCTTCACAGCCCAGTTCAGGTTCAACAGGCTGGAATTCCTGTCTCAGGAATTTTTCTTTGGCTCAGCCCAGGTACTGTGGGGAAGGAAAGGGCCCTGAGGAGAATCCCATCCATCCCTGACCCCCCAGGCTTTGCTCCCCTTCAGCTGCTTTGCCTCTGCATGGAGGCAAACATGATTTTGGGGTGGAAAACATGACTTTGGAGAGGAAAAATGACAACATTTCTGTGTCCAACTTTCAACTCCCTTTGTGTTTAGGAACTACCTTGAACTTCACTTGCTGTTTTTATACAAATTTTATCTACATTTCTTTTCTAGAGATTCCCCCCCATCACCCAAAAAAATTGGCAGGAAAACATTCCATTTGCCTCTGATCGATTTTTCTGCGATTTCTTTTTTTTTTTTCTTTTTTTTTTTTTAAATTTGCCAAAAATAGCTCCCAGATGTTCATGGCATGAACTGAAGTCTCCCTTTCTGGCATGAACCATCACCCTCCTCCTCCTCCTCCATCTCCCTCCTCCTGTGCCCGCTGGGGGGGTGGAGCAGCACCAGTGGCTCCCCATTATTTCCACCCACTGGGTCTTGTGGTGGTATCTCCTCATTAGTGGCTCCACGTGCCTTTAATTGCTGGTGCAATTACTCCCATCCCTGTTAGATCTTGCAGTGCCTCCCTCCTCCTGGTGGCACCAGCTTGGAGCCAAATATTCCCCAAATTGCTCCGAAATCTTTGCAGTCTTCACCCCCACAGGCAGCACAAGGACCCAGGGAACAGCTGGAGCTGTGCCAGGGCAGGGTTAGGGTGGATTTTAGGGAAAGGTTCTTCCCCCAGAGGCTGGTTGGGCACTGCCCAGGCTCCTCAGGGCAGTGGGCACAGCCCCAAGGCTGCCAGAGCTCCAGGAATGTTTGGACAATGCTCTGAGGGACAGGATGGGATTGTTGGGGTTGTCCTGTTGGACTGGATGATCCTCGTGTGTCCCTTCAGGATATTCCATGATTCTATGATTCCAGCCAAGTTGCTCACCTGAGCCCCACCACAATTCCAACCCCACCCAAAACATCCCCCCCAGTTCTTCCAGCTCAAAACCATCCTGGACATCCCAGCACGGACATCCCGGCGCTGCAGGTGAGATCCAAGAGGTCAGGAAAATGCATGTGTGCTTTATTCATGGATATGTTGGAATATTGACACGTACAGAAGAGAGAAGTACAAGCCTGAGCCCAGGATGGGCTGACACCCACCCACCCTCCTGCCCTGGTGCAGGTGCCCACACTGCTCCAGCACCACCTCCCAGCCCTGGATCTTCCCTCCTTGCTCACATTCCTTCTTGGAAAACGATGTCCATGATGACATGACATGATGCCAACATGGATTTGTACACTCACAATATTTCCTGGGCTCTCAGGGCTGTCAAACTCCTGGGAACAGTGCTGAGTAGCCAAAAAAATAAGAGTTTAGTGGCTACAGAAAGTCTGGCTGGTTCTTTAATTATTTTTTTTTTTTTAAATTATTATTATTTTTTTTCCCATGACTCTTCTTTGTGCTTATGGAAGTCCCCAGGAATGGAGTAATTCCTAAAAGAAAAATTGTCTCCCCTTTTTCTCTCTCTTGGTTTTCTCAGTCCTTTACAAGCAGCTTTGGGGGTTAAAGAGATTTAAAGGTGAAGATCCAGGGTTTGCTTCACAGAATTCAGCAGGGATGGGATTTCATCCCAAAAAATCAATGGCTTTTCACAGGGGAAAAGCAATGGCCTGTGCACGCGTGTGCTGGTGGGAGGGAGGGGTGGAATCAGGATCACATCTCTGAGCGAGGCTCAAAAGTCTTTTTGCAAAGTTTGATTTGTGAACAGGCCTGGGGGAAGAATCAACATCAAATATTGGTGAAAAGGGGGAAATGATCGGGGGAAAAGCCATGAAGATTTGGGGATTATTGTTTAATTCCCACCTGCCTGGCTCTTTCCTGCTGGGTGAGAGGCTCTTGCTCTGTACCCCACTCACTTTTTTCCAAAGGATGGGAAATGGGAATTGAGGGTCTCATTCAGCTGTGATGCTTAGAGACAACAAATCCTAAGGAGTCTTAAAAGCAAGATATCCCTGGAAGTGTCCAAGGCCAGGTTTGGAGCAATCTGGGCTAGTGGAAGGTGTCCCTGCCCATGGCAGGGGGTTGGACTGAATGATCTTTAAGGTTCCTGCCCACCCATTCCATGATTTTATGATATAAATCCAGGGGAAATTATGACACCTCTGACTGAAATTGTTAAAAATCATTTAAGATGAACCTTCCAAAAAGTGTAAGCAGACCACTGGTGCTGCTGTGGGGCAGGCCCCTGGACTAGGTGACCTCTGGATTCTCCACGTCGATTTTCCACAGCACCAACCTGAAAGGAGAGGTCAGGTGGGCCTTCCAATCATCCCAACCGCCCAGAAAAACTCTTCCTCTGCTGGGTGAGAAGGAAATGGCAAAGTGGCACTTCAACATCACTGGAACCGAGTTGTGAGAGCCCCGGGAGTGGAGCCATGAGAGCCCCAGGAGTGGGTGCTCCTGGAGAGCAGCTGGCACTTGTGTCCCCAGCCTACAGAGACTCAGCCTGTGCATCATTAAAGACTGGTGGGGACAGGCTGGATGTGTGGAAAAGCAGGGAATGACTGCAGGATTGGGAAGGAAAGGGGCACAGGAAGGCAATTCCCAGCGTGACCTCACGGAGCTGAGGTAGTTCCTTGCCTTTGAAGGGCTGAGCATCAGTTTCATCCCCCTCCCACCTCAGAGGACACGAGTTTTGCAGGGTTGGGGTTGTACCACTTGCTCTCCCAGAGGACACTGAAGTCCTGGATGAAGGGGAGATGTTCATGGATCGTTCATCAACTCCGTGCATGGATATGGCATTTGGAAAGGACTTCCCTGGAGCTCTCCCTCCCTGCCTGCTTCTCTCACTGGGGTGAGCCTTTTGGCCATGAAGTTCTCACCTGGATGCCTCAGCTCAGGGTGGGACTTGGCACCCCGGACACAGGCCTTGGATCTTGGCATGTTCCCACCCTGGACACAGGCCTTGGATCTTGGTATGTTCCCACCCTGGACACAGGCCTTGGATCTTGGTATGTTCCCACCCTGGACACAGGCCTTGGATCTTGAAATGTTCCCACCCTGCACACAGGCCTTGGATCTTGGAATATTCCCGCCCTGCACACAGGCCTTGGATCTTGGAATATTCCCACCCTGCACACGTGCCTTGGATCTTGGCATGTTCCCACCCTGGACACAGGCCTTGGATCTTGGCATGTTCCTCTGCACAGCCCTGGATTAGGAACACCAGGAGTTTTGGACAGGGTGCACCAGGAGGATTTCTGTCCGTGTCTGTCACACCCACAGGTGTTCAGCTCCAAACAAGAGAGGTTCCACGTCGAACTAAAGCCCAAGGAAGCTGCTGCAGTTTCCCAGGAAAATCTGCAGCAGGAAACAATGGGAGGTGTTCTGCAGGGAATGGGAACAAAAAGCACTGGATTCTTCTGTGTCAGCTGCTGCTAAACCTTTCCACGGATCCAAATGCTAAGGAAATAATGGTGCTCCTTGGAGGAGCACAACCCAAGGGAGAAATGGGCTGCTGCAAATCCCAAGCCTCAATATTCCAGGAGAATCTGGGGCTATTCCTGTGCCTCCCATGGCAGCCAGCCTGGATCAGCATTTATCCTGGGAAGCCTTCTCACCCTTCCTTGCATCCTCTTTCCTGGCTTGATGTAGGAAGGGCCTGGGACTCCTCAGCTCAAGGGAAGAGGATGCTCAGGTCACACCAGAGCCACCCAAGACACCCCAAAGATATTTACCCCCACCTCCCTCCAGCTCTGGCTGCAGCTCAGTCCAAAGGGTCCCTTCCCTTTGTTCAAGTGACCTCTTGGCTGAAGAAACAGGAGCTGGCAGGAGGAAAAGCCCTTTCCCTGGTCACCTGGACACAAGTGAGGAGAGTTCTCCAAAGAGAGGAAACCACAGCAATGCGTTCCCTACCCATAGCATGATCCATGACATGGCCTTTCCTGGATATTTCTGTCCTCAGGGTGGTATCTAATAACCTCTCCTACCTGTCTCTTCCCAGGAAAACTGATGAAATCCCCTGGCTGAAGACTGAGATTGATGGATGCACAGGCAGCGCGTGAGAGTGGGTTGTGTTGGGCTCACACAGTGATACCTGATGGAGAAAGCTCAGCTTGGAGTGGGACAACACTGGCCTCTGGTTGTTTGGATGTGACCAAAAAAAAACATCCCACCCCAAACACTTGACAGGACCAGAGGATTGGGATTCTCGGGTCGGGACACGAAAAACCAGCTGGGAACAAAACGCAACACACGTGTTTCTTCCTGAACACCAGCAACACATGACACAGGTTTCCCCAAAAAGGAGGGCCTGAGGGGTGGGTGGCAGCTGGGAGACACATGCTGGTTGTACTCTGCTTTTCCAGAGGGTGGAGAATCCCTGCCAGCCAGTTTGGAGCGTGCTGAGTTGCTCCACCCCAGCGGTGCTTCAGGTTCCTCTCCGGTGAATGAACCCAACAACCTTCTCACCACTGCTCTGGTTTCTTCAGTCTGAAGCAACCAGGTGGGTTGTCCTTCAGGTCCTGAGCATCCCTGGAGACAGTTTGAGCTCCACATCGCTTGACTTGTCCTGCCAAGAGCCCCCCAACACGAGTCAGGGCTTCAGGAAACCTCCTGACGGCTCCTCCATCCATCCAAAGTCTTTCCCCTTCTGGATGGGGCAGGCAAAAGCATTTCCTTTGCAGCTCCCATGTCCTGGATCAACTCTCTCCTTCCTCTTTTTCAATGGGACTGTCCATGGCTCCAACCCCCTCCACAGAGAGCTGGAGAGTCAACAACCAAGCTGTGGGGTGGGAAGGTGGCCAGGACCAAGGATGAGCCGGTTGTCGACGATGCCGATTGTAGAAAATCAAATAAACTGGCAGAGGGATGAGGAGGAGGAGGAGGGAGGGATGCCCGAACCGCACCTCTCCTTCCCATCCCCTCCCTCCTCCTGAAAAAGTCACTGCTCTGGTTGTTTTGTAAAGAAACCAACACCAAATCGAGTCCGTGCCCGGCGCGTTCCTGCCCTGCCTCACATCCCAGAGAGGCTCAGCACGGCAGGAGTGAGGAGAGGCCAAATCCAGAGCGGAGAGGCTGCCCAGGGGGAAGGGGCTATCGGGCTGGAGGTCCCTGAGGACAGACGGGTGGAGCCCCGGAGGAGCCGCTCCTCCCCCGCCACCTGCGAGGGAAAGGAAAAGTGTCAGAGGGGGGATCGTGGAATTGTGGGATGGTTTGGGCTTGAAGGGAGATGAAGGATCATGTCATTCCACCCCCCTGCCATGGGGACACCGTCCACCAGCCCAGGTTGCTCCAACCTGGCCTTGGACACTTCCAAGGGATGGGGCAGCCACAGCTTCCCTGGGAATTCCATCCCAGCCCCTCACCATGCTCACAGGGAAGAATTTGTTCCCAATATCCCATCTAAACCTACTCTCTGTCAGTTTGAAGCCGTTCCTCCTTGTCCTGTCCCTCCAGGCCCTTGGAAATAGTCTCTATCCATCTTTCTTGTCAGGCCCTTCAGGCCCTGGAAGGCCACAGACAGGTCACCCTGAAGCTTCTCTTCTCCAGGCTGGACAAGCCCAATTCTCCCAGCCTTTCCTTACAGCTCCATCCCTCTGATCATCTTGGTGGCCCTCCTTGGTCCCTCTGAGGATTTAGGGCTGTGCAGCCCTCAGTGTGTTCCCGTGCAGAGGGGTCAGGCTTAGTCTGAGCACTCAAACTCCAGCCTGGAGGTGAACTCGGCTCTGCGGGAGCTGCTGCTGAAGGTGGGGCTCTATCGGGGTCATCTCATGGGCTCAGAGATGATTTGGGCACTGACTGGAGGTGCTCTGTGTGAAGGGGGTGCCTGGGTGCCCACTCAGGTCAAGGACTGGCCGGTGGCTTCACCTCAAAGGTGGAGAAGTCAGAGAACCATGGAATGGTTTGGCTTGGAAGGGACCTTAAAGATCATTTCTTTCCAACCCCCTGCCGTGGGCAGGGACACCTTCCACTAGCCCAGGTTGCTCCAACTTGGCCTTGGACACTTCCAGGGATCCAGGGGCAGCCACAGCTTCTCTGGGCAACCTGGGACAGGACCTCACTTGGATTTCTCTGAGGTTTGGGGAGCACCAGCTCCAGGGAAATCCTCTAGATCTCCTGGGCTCCGAGTCTATGGCCTGCTAAACATCTCTCCCGCATTCCAGCGCCCTGGAAAGCAGCGAAGGAAACCGAGGCCGCTTTTCTCCACCTCCTCAACCTGCTGCTCTGCAAAAACAGGGTGGCGGGAGGCAAACCAGGTAGTTTTCCCAGCGGAAGGAACGGCACAAAGGTTTAAAATATTCCATGTTTGGAAGCTCCCCGGATGTCCCAGCGGCCCAGCCCAACGCCCACGCTCGGTGCTCAGAGCCTGGTCCAAAGCGACAGCCTGTGTCACCTGAGACAGCCTGTGTCACCTGTGACAGCCTGTGTCACCTGTGATAGCCTGTGTCACCTGAGACAGCCTGTGTCACCTGAGACAGCCTGTGTCACCTGAGCACTCGGCAAATCGGGGTCGCCGTTAATTATTCAGCGGTGAAAGAATTCAACCTGAAAATTACTCTGGAGGGGGCCCAGCCAAGGTCGTTTCGTGTCGTTTAAAAGTAAAATATTGAGTGCCTCACGCTGCCACTGGCAGCAAACAGAGCTGCTGTTTGCTTTAAATCAGTTCAGTTTGATGTTGTTTTGATAGTAACAATCTGCTGCTGGGCTGGAACCTCTCCTCTGGAATTTTTCCGGTGCAGACCGTAGTTAAGCCTCTGTGTTTTGACCTCCAGGATCCTCATCTAAGGGGGGAACTGTGCCCTGGGAAGGGGAAATGATTGTCTGAAGCTGCTCTGGAGGAGGCTGAGGAGCCACACTGGTTGTCCTGGCCCCCCTTCTACATTCCTGAAAAGTCCATGGATTTCCCAGTACTTCTAAAAGAAACATAGGGAAGGTTTGCGACGGTTTGGGGAGGGAAGGTTTGGGAAGGGAAGGGAAAAGAGAAGTGAAAAGGGAAGAGGAGAGGAGAAAAGGAGAGGAGAGAAGGGGAGGGATGGGGAAGGTTTGGGAAGGGAAGGTTTGGGAAGATTTGGGAAGGGAAGGTTTGGGAAAGGAAGGTTTGGGAAGATTTGGGAAGGTTTGGGAAGGGAAGAGAAGGGAAGGGAAAAGGGAAGAGGCGAGGGGAGGAGAGGAGAGGAAGGTTTGGGAAAGGAGGGTTTGGGAAGGTTCAGGAAGGAAAGGTTTGTTAAAGAAAAGTTTGGGAAGGGAAGGTTTGGGAAAGTCTGGGAAGGGAAGATTTGGAAGGGGAAGAGAA